CAGCATTACCTTGAATCCAGAATCAGACAAGGGAAGATTACTGAAAACTCCATAAAACTCATTATAAAGTGTTAAAAGGAAGATTACTAAAAACGGAGGGTGACTGTGCCTCATTACACATGCCATTAGCAGGTGCAGCAAATGGTGGAGGTGACGCGTACAGTGCACACTCATGTGTCTTGGGTCAGCTGACTATGGTTTCTCATCTTAACCTATTGTTTTTCTCAATCAAAACCGAGAAAACACAAATGTAAAAAAAATTCCTTAAGCTCAAAGTGTTCCCTGATATATCAATAAGTCTGGAACAAATTTACATTTCAAAAGAAGCATTACAACAGAAATGCATTTAATGAGTAATTGAAAAATAAATGTGGGAGAGGAAAAGTCCTATGCTCCAATAACTTTAAGAAATAAGTGGTTTAAACAAGATAAATCTCCTTTTACAGTAGGAAATTTCAGAAATTTCATTTGACAACAAACTCCAAAACTTCAATGGGACAGTGAATTGGCAATATTTTCCAAGATTATTTGTCGGTGGAAACTTCCACTTTGTTCTGTGGTAAAAAACCATCAACCTCTGTTAAAATTACTTTTCTATTGGGCACTTTGGCAAACATTTCTAGATACGAGTTTTTCAAATTTATTATTATAAATTCAAGACAAGGGTTTTTCTCAGAACAGAAATAAATTACAGTCTAACTCAAATTTGTATTTGAAAATAAATCTGCAAATTATTCTCAAAAATATGAATATGCCTAGCATTGCTGATTAAAGAACTAAACCATGGCTGACATATAAAATATACCCTTATTAAATTTTCTTATTTTAACTGATATATAAAAATTAGAATTGTTTAGGCCATGTGATATTTTGACTCATATATTGTGTGGTGTTCAAATCAGGGTAAACATAGCTATTTCCTCAAAATGTTATCATTTCCTTATGTCAAAAATATTCAGAATTCTTTATTCTAGTATTGTTTCGTTAACAAATATACAGAAAGCTATCATTATCTATAATTACTCTACTGGAAAATAAAACAAAAGACATCTTTCTCCTACCTTAGTACTCAATACTTGTCTTTCTGTGCCTGGCTTACTCCATTTAGTATAATGACCTCTAGTTCCATCCATGTTGTTGAAAATCATACAATTCCATCCTTTCTGTGGTTGAACAGAATTCCCCTGTTGTGTTCCACTTTCTTCATCCTTTCATCAGTTGATGGACTCTGGTTGTTTCCATTCCGTGGCTATTATAAATCATGTTTCAATAAGCAAGGGAGTGCAGATGTGTCTTTTTCAAGGTCACTTCACTTCCTGTGAGTACAGAAGTGGGATTGCTGGATTCAACGGCAGTTCTGCTTCTTACTTTTTGAGGAAAGTCTTTACTGTCTTCCATAAGGGCTGAACTCATTCATATTCCCACTAGGAGTGTGCTTTGGTTCCCTTTTCTTGCCATTTTTGCAGGCACTCGCTTTTTGATAATAACCAATCTAGCTGGAGTGAGGTGACATCTCATTGTGGTTTTGATATGCATTTCCCTGATAATTAGTGATGTTGAGCTTTTTTTTTTTCCTATACCTGTTAGTCATAGGTATGTCTTCCTTTCAAAAATGTTGGTTTAGATCTATTGCTCATTTTTTATTGAATCATTTGTATGAGTTATTTTTTAAGATGCTTTTATTTATTTGAAAGATCTACAGAGAGAGACAGAGACTGACAGAGAGCTCGTCCATGCACCGATTCACTCCCCAAATGGTTGCAATGGCCAATGGTAGGCCAGGCCGAAGCCAGGAGCCAGGAGCTTCATCCAAGTCTCTCAAGTGGGTGCAGGGACACAAGTACATGTGCCATCTTCTACTGCTTTTCCCAGGCCATTAGCAGAGAGCTGTATTGGAAGTGGAGCAGCTGGGACATGAACCAGCACCCAAATGCAATATCGATGTTGCAGGTAGCATCTTAACCTCTAGGCTCCATTTTGTCTTTCTTGTTTGTTTTTTTGCTGTTGGGTTGAGCTCCTTTTATATTCTGATTATTAATCCCCCATCAGAAACATAACTTGCAGATATTTCTTTCTTTCTGTAGATTATCTCTTAAATCTTGATTGTTTTATAGCTGTCCAGACTTGTCTATGAAATCCCATCTGTCTATTTTGGCTTTTATGTCCTATGGTTTTGAAGTCCAAGAAAAAAATCCTTGCCTTTTCCTCCACCCTGTATTTTCTTTGAGTAGTTACAAAGTTCTAGGTCTTACATATAGGTATTCAACGCATTTTCAGCTAGTGCTCATACGCAGTGAGAGAAGAGTCTGGTTTCATTACACTCTGTGAGGATAACCAATTTCCCCAGCATGATTTATTTAAAAGACTATCCTTTCTCCAATACATATTCTTACCACTGGTGTTCGTCAAACACCAGTTGGCTACAGATGTGTAGGTGCATTGCTATACATTTATTCTTTTCTGTTGCTCTCTGTGTCTGTTTTCATGCCAGTATCAGGCCACTTAAATGGCTATAAATTTGTAATGTAATGTATTTTAAATTCAGGTAAAGCCTGAGCAAATGGAACAATGTGCCACCAAGAATTGTAGGAAGCAAAAGGGCAAGAGTTGTTTTAGCCAATAGATTTTCCAGAGTTGACTCTGATGGTCTGATAACAACATTATACAAGCAGTCATATAAAAGTTCATGGGGCCGGTGCTGCGGCTCAATAGGCTAATCCTCCTACTGCGGCACCGGCACCCTGGATTCTAGTCCTGGTCAGGGCACTGGATTCTGTCCCAGTTGCCCCTCTTCCAGTCTAGCTCTCTGCTGTGGCCCAGGAGTGCAGTGGAGGATGGTCCAGGTCCTTGGGCCCTGCACCCCCATGGGAGACCAGGAGAAGCACCTGACTCCTGGCTTCGGATCAGCGCGGTGCACTGGCCACAGTGCATCTGCCGCAGCGGCCACTGGGGGGTGAACCAACAGAAAAAGGAAGACCTTTTTCTCTGTCTCTCTCTCACTGTCCACTCAAAATCAAAAGTTCATGGGAGATACACACTATGGCAAAACTATCCCTGGATTTCAAAAATGTTTTGCACCAAAATAAATCTATCTTTCATTTTCATGTTCCACAAACTTTTTGAAGCAGCAGGTGCTGTGGTGTGGGTATGTTTGGGAGTCTCCTAATGATCCATGATTGAAGCCTTGGTCCCCGGAGTGAAGGAGGAAGCTTATCTGAGGGAGTGGAATCTTCAGGAGGTGGTGCTTAGTGGGAAGTGCTCAGGTCACTGAGGCCATGCACGGGGTGAATGTCAGACCTCAGTTTCTCTCTGACATGTTTGGCAGTGTAACCTCTTCCATACTCTCAGGCAATCATGCCATGAAGTGTTACCATTCACTACTCTGCCCACAGGCCAAACCAATGCCCTTAACCTACCCCAACCCCACTACCTTATCTCTGATTTTGAACCCCCAAAATGGAATAAACCTTTCAATAAATAAACTAAATACTTCTGAGCTAAAAAAAGTTTTCTGCTTATACAGTTACCTGCCTCAGTTATTCCATTATAGTGACAATAAGTCAATACTATAGATTTCTTCCATTGCATATTTCATAGATAATTCATTATCATAGTAAATGCAGAAAAGGAAAAAAAGTCTCAGGTAATTCAGGTTTTCTGCTTGTAAATGAGCCAAGGAAAAGTTAGAAAGTCAGGATAATTGCTGCTGTCATAGTCAGTTAGCTCAGCAGCCTCACACAGGAGAAATACATTGTTTGCTCAAATAATTGCTCAGCATAGTTGGTGAGCTGAACTGGAGGCGAGAGCACCGCTCTGCGCGTTCAGAGCCACAGGCTTCCTCCGTGGCGTGGCTGTGGTACCCACATAGTGAGGCATCCACCGAGGGGCAGGAGAGGCACTGGGTGAGGTACATCCCATCAGCTGGAATTCAATTGAAACGCCCCCCCCCCCCTCCAGGGATGGGTGGAAGATGTTAATTTAGCTGAATACTCAGGAGAAGTATGTAGCATTATCTGACACAGATGGCAATGGAGAGAAAATCCATACTTAAACGACTGAGGGTTCAGAATTAGCCCTGAAATGATTCCTGTTTTCTGATGAACAGAACCCATAAACCACTGACAGCTGAAACCAAAGAGTCACACGAAGGACACAATTTCACAAGCTGGAGCTTAATTGAAAAATAATTTTGCTGGAATCTTTCAAAACTAATTTAAAGAAAATATTCAGAAACTTGAATAAACAGCTTGGATCCACTAATCTCAGCTTGAATATAGTTACCAAGATGTGGGTTTAACTTACAAGATCCTGAGCTGTGGAAGTCAAAAACAAAATAACATTAGAAATAAAATTTTACCTTTTTAACAAAAGAAATTTGGCTAATTATTGACTTTATTTCAGTCTGAGTTGAGTATGGTCTCATTAATGTTGTATGGATTTTAAACACCATGAATTCCTAGCTCTAAAAACAAAAATTCTGCAATAGAGAAACAGTAGATACTGGTGCACCTGTTGTAAATCAAATTGCAGGCAGACACCTAATTCTTTCATCTATTGCGTGCCTACACACACTATAAACACTCTCCCTACATTTCAGGTATTTTAAACTGCAATATCACTGCCTGGCTCTTAATTCAAAGAAATTAAATAGTATAAAAACAATCTGTATCCGGGCATAAAGGCAGGAACATGGGACTGTGTTTTCCGTTTCATTTCAGATACCCACACAGGCACTGCCTCAGGGTGGCTGGTTGTGCTGGCACAGATGCCCTGCAGGGATCAGGCTACTTTCCTTGAAAACTTGAAAAGGAAAATCAGGATCTCACAACCAGCCTGCTTCCAGAAGCTCCTGCATCTGAATGAGGACCACTCTGCAATTTGAATTTCAGGATCCTCATCGGCTTCTCTCAGGCTTCCACTGCGCTCGGATTGGTCAGGAGCAAACACAGGAGGAGCCGCTCTGAGCCTTTTTTTTTTTTTTTTTCTAAAAAGCAGCAGCGGCAACCCCAGTTACCAGCACTGGATGCAAGGCTGGGGCTGGCAACAACTGCTTCTTCGGAGAGGCGCCGACAGAGCATGTGCACGGGATTCGCCCCGGTGGCACGGCAGCTACCAGGAAAATTATTTTGAAAAGACCCGAATTCATAAAGTTAAAGCAGAAGTGAGAACCAAAACGCAGTCAGCAATCTTTCCAACTGAGAATGGGCATTTTGAAGTCTAACATTTTAAAGCGATGATGATCACAGCCGGACCTAAAAAAGACTAAAAACTCCACAGCTAGCCCTGGAGCTTGTGACTGGACTCCACAGCAAGCATGCCGCGTTAGCCTCCTAACTTTCAGACGAAGAGACAGTAACTGGGATTTCCTGCGCCGGGAGGTGCAGTGAGCACAGGGGATCTGAATCCACCTGCTGCACCATGAACTCCACCCACCACCGTGGGACGCACACTTCTCTCCACTTCTGGAATCGCAGCAGCTATGGACTGCACAGCAATGCCAGCGAGTCCCTGGGGAAGGACTACTCTGATGGAGGGTGCTATGAGCAACTTTTTGTGTCACCGGAGGTGTTCGTGACTCTGGGTGTCATAAGCTTGCTGGAGAATATTCTAGTGATTGTAGCCATAGCCAAGAACAAGAACCTGCACTCACCCATGTACTTCTTCATCTGCAGCCTGGCAGTGGCAGATATGCTGGTGAGCATTTCCAATGGGTCGGAAACCATTGTCATCACCCTATTAAACAGCACGGATACGGACGCACAGAGTTTCACGGTGAACATTGATAATGTCATTGACTCGGTGATCTGTAGCTCCTTGCTTGCCTCCATTTGCAGCCTGCTCTCCATTGCAGTGGACAGGTATTTTACTATCTTTTATGCCCTCCAGTACCATAACATTATGACAGTGAAACGGGTCGGGATCATCATCAGTTGTATCTGGGCAGCTTGCACGGTTTCAGGCATTCTCTTCATCATTTATTCCGACAGCAGCGCTGTCATCATCTGCCTCATCACCATGTTCTTCACCATGCTGGCTCTCATGGCCTCCCTCTATGTGCACATGTTCCTGATGGCCAGACTTCACATTAAGAGGATCGCGGTCCTCCCGGGCACGGGCGCCATCCGCCAAGGGGCCAACATGAAGGGGGCAATCACCTTGACCATCCTGATTGGGGTCTTTGTTGTCTGCTGGGCCCCTTTCTTCCTCCACTTAATATTCTACATCTCCTGTCCCCAGAACCCATACTGTGTGTGCTTCATGTCTCACTTTAACTTGTATCTCATACTGATCATGTGCAATTCAATCATCGATCCTCTCATTTATGCACTCCGGAGTCAAGAACTGAGGAAGACCTTCAAAGAGATCATCTGCTTCTACCCTCTGGGAGGGCTCTGTGATTTCTCTAGCAGGTATTAGAAGGGGACAGAGGCCACACTAATTACATGCATAAGAGACTCCCTCATTCCCATACAACTGAACAGTGTGTTTCGGCAACAGCTCTCTCCTCTATGTAGTGCATTGGCTGAGAATCTCTATTGTACACATGGAGGTTTGTGATTTTTGATATGAAAAATGTCTAATCTCAGTATTATTTTTAATGTCATGCTTCTTTTTGCTTGTAAAATGTTAACCTATATTATTAACTATAGGCACTATGGATTTACAAAAAAAGTCTATATTAAAAGCTTAAGAGTGTCTCTTGTTACTCATAAGGGTTTGTCTTTGCTGGTAATAGTAACAGAAATCAGAGATGCATTACATATATTCTAACAATGGTTTCCTATTTTTCCTATACAACACTGAAATTGAGAGGCTTGATTCTAGCATTTAAGAGGGAAATAGTAAAAGAACAGATGCTTAATTGTTTAAAAAAAAGGCAACACTATCACTGAAGTTTCCATTAATTACATAAAATCTTATCTGTCTTCCCTGTGCAGAAGTAAAAATAAGGCTCCTCTTCAAATTAACAGCCACTGGAAAACTGAGTCAAAGACAGAAACATTTTTTTGCCCAATCTGATTTTCCTAACAGGTGATCTGTTTTGGGGAGAAAACAACAGCTATGGGATTAAAGGGGTCTGGAAATCCTGAACTGCCGTGCGAAGCTAAGCTTTCTGGTATGAAATTATCCCCACCCATCATTAATAAAACAGAAAATGAAATATTTCTGCCCCTTTAATCAGGAACCCAGCATCTGCTGAAGTCTGCTGAATTGTCCAGAAAAAGTTGTATTACACTGAGAGGCCTGGTGTCCGATCACTTAAAAGCCAAATGATTGATAGTGAACCTTTCACAAATCACAGGGAAGAGATCTGCTGTTTACTTGCTGTTAATTTCTTGAACTAGAGTCTCAGCATTGAATATTAAGGGTCTTCACTGTCAACATCAACTCCATAGTACAGTGCTTTCAGACAATGTTTATAAATCTCTAAAGTAAGGGTAGCTGTGAGGCTGGTACTTTATTAGCAGGAAGAAAGGCACCTGGTCAACCCCAAGGATGTGGCACAAGAGTACACTAGCCTTGGAAAGCCACATCTGGGACACGAAATACTCTCTCTGCTCCAAAGTAACACCACATGCTTGACCACTGAGCAACAAAATCTGCACTTTCAATCTATGTATGTGTTAAAGAAAGAACATACCACACAGAGGATTAGAAGTAAACTACCTTGTGAATTAATAGTGTCTTCCAATGCTCATGGTCAGAGGCCATATGCAAAGGTACTTTTCAATCCAAAGCTCAATGTCTTACACGTCAGTGGTAAGACCCCACTTTCACTTTCACCATATATGGGACACCTTGGCTTATAGTATAAGTTTACAAAAGAAAAGTGATGCTGAAGCTTAATGTTAATTCCACTGAAATCCCTCCATTCTGAAGCAAAAATAAGTGTGAAGTTTTACATGTAGACTGACATAACGGCCATGCCCAAACCAATGGCAGGACACAAATGGTGTTTGGTTACTCTTACTATTCCTGCTCATTCTTTCATATCATGACTCAAAGAAACCCCATGGTCTAGAGAAGATGTGGAAATCAGAGCTGTAAACAACTCACATCTTTGCTGGCTGTCTTTCCAGATGCTGCTTATTTGTCCATCAAGTATCATCACAGAGTTAGGGAAAAGATCCTGACTTCCTTCTTACTCACATTCACACCTTCCCCTGGAGCAGTTCATAGTTTATAGCATATACTCATATATTGGTCAAGATCCAACCATGCAGGGTTGGTGTTGCGGTGCAGCAGGTTAAACCACTGTTTGGGATTCCAGCATCCCATATCTGAGTGCCTGTTCACTTTTGACCCAGCTCCCTGCTAATGCTCCTGGAATCAGCAGGTGATATCTCAAGTACCTGGGTCCCTGTCACCCAAGAAGGAGACCTGGATGGACCGCCTGGCTTTTGTCTGGCCCAGCTATGGCAATTGCAGTCATTAGGTGAGTGAATCAATGAATGGAATTTCTGTGTGTGTGTGTGCCTGTGTGTAAGACTGCCTTTCCAATAAATAAATAAAAGGAATAAGCCGCATGCTGCCAGCCTCTTCCGCATGCCATGGTACGATGTAGGGCTTCAGTGTCTTTCAGTGCTCTTACTCATTCACCCTACACTCTAAACCCTCCTCAGTTGTATTACTTCCCCTTATTCTAGTTAAATATAGATTCTCCTAGAGGGATAGACTTTCTCTCTAACCTGCACCCCTCACTTGCAGTGAAATTTGTAGCTCTGCTGGCTCTAGCTGGATTGCTATTGTATTAACTGGATAGTATTAGGATTGAAAACTGAGGCAAAAGCAAGGTTACTTAGTCTCAGGGTGGTGGGGGGTGGAGAGGAGAGGGAGAACAGGAAATTAGGTTGGTGGGGGGAAGAAGCTTGAAATGCACAAAATGAAGATGTCATGGTGACCCTGCCTGCTACAGTAGACAAAGCAGGGAGTTCCTTCCGCTAGGGAACTTGAAGTATACCAAGAACCAGGAACTGAGTTTCCTAGAACTGCATGAGAAGTTCTAACATGGGAAAAAGGGGATTATATCTCTGTTCTCATTACCTTATGTCTAACAGGAACACAAGGTTGGGACAAGGATTTAAAAGCTATCCAATCATGACATTCAAATTCCAGTTAGGGCCCCTCACCAGCTGCATATTGTAGTCTTACTTTCCCTGGCTTGTTTGTGTGCTTTTTACCTCCCTTATTTACATGCAAGCCCCTTTGAAAATAGGGAATCTTTTGCTCATATTTTTAACCTCATAGAGCCTAGCATATTGGACATTTATGAAAAGCTAGAAATATCTGAAAAATATAAATAAAAACATTCTTCATTCAGAAAGTGATTTCGCAGTAGCTTCAGCCAGGGCATCCTTGATGCTGTGTCTATTCCTTTGTCAGCAGTGATGAGAGATTGGGGCTGGGCATTCTTTTGCGATGTGCTGCCTAGCCTTCATGCCCTGGTTCTACCTTCAGGAGAGGACCACAGCAGCCCCAGTGATTTGTCAGGGAAGGAACTCAGTCAGGCTGAATTGAGTCACAAAAAGGAATGTGGCAAAAATAACCTCTAACCACCTTTCTGAACAACCATAATCAATCAATACAGCATGAAGCAAAAGGGAAAAATCTGTCATGATGGATGATCTTGGGTATACTGGGGTTGGCAGATGTCATTTTTACCTGTTTCATTATAGCAAGCACTGAATCGTCCAGTTATGGTATTGGGACTTAGAGCTGTTTGTCACTAAGGACCTTGGACTTTCTAAGCTTACCACAGATGAGAACTACTCCACCAGAGGGTGGCCATTAGGGATAAACTGACATGGAGTCTATAGTGAGCAAAAAGCAAAGTACCTCTAGGTTTTTGTGCCCCTCCTAACACCACCCAGTGAAATGCCTCTTAGAAAACTGGGCTGGCACATGTTAGCCTACTTTCCACCATGCATCTGTGCTCATCAAATCCAGGCATCAGCATCATGGTGTGTTTCAGCCAACAAGATAAGAGTGCCTGAACATCACTATTCTGAAGAAATGAGAAATGCATGAAAAAGAGAGAAGGAAGAGAGATAGAGTGCTTATCAGGCTTTGGGTCAGCTTTCTACTTCTGCCTTTTGAGAAAATAAAACCATAATACAAGCAGGCATGAGTAGTGACATTAAACCCATATCAACCCAAACTCTCTGGTGGCTCAGGAATTTATCCATGAGGTGGCTTAGGATGTAATGTGGTTCAAGGAGATCAGAGGATTGTAAGCCTGTTGTAGAGTAGCTACCTTCTTTCACTTGGGTTGCATGTCTTCTTGAAATACCTTTGGAGGAACACTTGAAGATTATACTTTGGTAAAACTAACAAACTTGGGCACCATAGGGCTCCTACAGTCTGCCTCCACTGGACACACGTTTGCTTTTGGTGAGAAGGGAGTGGTAAGAGAAAGGAGCATGATGAAGACCATGGCTTTCTCTTCCATCTTTTTTTTTCTTTGAATGTGTAACAATTTTTTTTCGTAAATACAACTTTAGGAATATAGTGATTCTTCTCACCCTTCCTGCCCTCCCACTCACATTCCCACCCTTCCTCAGCCTTCCCCTCCTATTCCCATTCTTATTTTTTACTAAGATCTATTTTCTTTTTCTTTTCTTTCTTTTTTTCTTTTTCTTTTTTTTTTTTTTTCAGAGTGGATAGTGAGAGAGAGAGGGAGAGAGAAAGGTCTTCCTTTTTGCCGTTGGTTCACCCTCCAATGGCCGTCGCACTGATCCAAGGCCAGGAGCCAGGTGCTTCTCCTGGTCTCCCATGGGGTGCAGGGCCCAAGTACTTGGGCCATCCTCCACTGCACTTCCGGGCCACAGCAGAGAGCTGGCCTGGAAGAGGGGCAACCGGGACAGAATCTGGCGCCCCGACCAGGACTAGAACCCAGTGTGCCAGCGCCACAGGCGGAGGATTAGCCTATTGAGCCGTGGCACCGGCCTTAAGATCTGTTTTCAATTAACTTTATACACTTACAATTTAACTCTATAGTAAGTGAGGAGTTCCACAAATTGTAGGGAAAAAAAAAAACTTTTTGTTCCATTAAATGGATGTTATTCTACAGCTTCCTTTTTTTAAACCTGCAGTCTATTTTGTCCTTTAATATTTCTCTTGCTAGTCTAAAAATGAATATTATATATGATATGTATTCTCAGTCAATGCCTCTTAGCTCATTTCTATTTTTTTTAATAATTTCTTTAGATTTTCTTTCCCACTCGATTTTCAAGTTGTTCTGTTCTGCTGTGAAAAGGTCATACAAGAAAGAAAATGCAAAAAACAAATTGACAGATGCATTATTTTTTGGTGCAATGAACTAATGATTTGCATGAAATGGTTAAAAAAGTGATCACATTTCTTTGTATTTAGATAAACTGCCCAGTTTCACAAAATCTTACTGGGAAGAACTCACTTCCAGTACAAATAAAAAAGAGTCTAAAATTTCTAAAAATAAGAGAGTATTAAAATTTACTGCAAAAGTACTGCAGCATAATTATCAAGGCCCAAGAAGTGCACATTCATAACAAACCCATATGATGACAACAGAAGAGGAATAAATGAATAAAGAAAATTAGACAACCTAAATCAGTCAAGCTGAAGTGCAAACAGATGTGTCCTCGGAATATTTCTAAA